AAAAAAAAAAAAAAAAAAGGTTATTACTCAGTAATATAGTTCATATAGAAACAGAGAAATAGATACTTGATTTCTTTTTTGGCCCATTTTGACAATAATGAGGTACTTCTTCAGAACCCTCCAATGATAATCAATTGGTTCCTTTTCATCTCTTAATGTCATTATGGACTCATTTAATTATTTCATGCTTTAATCCACCACTATTATTATTCATATTGATGCACAACTTGTTCCATCTTTGGCCAGTGGGAGCCTCTTCTGAGTCTGTTGGACACCTCCCGAATAATCTTTGTAGTTTTCTTGCTATCTACTATTATGTTTCACACTCAACTTTAAAATTCCCTACTCCAGAACTGAGTTAGCCATTTCCCCCAAGGAAGAACCCTCATTCCTTTTATTAAGAAGTGGTATCTGGATTTCATGACTGGAGTCCCATTGTAAATTGAGAAACATCTGTCCTTACAAAGCAGCTAACCCACTGTTTTTCTTTTCAATGTACCCTTTCTCTCATTTTCTACTTAAATTCCTCCCTATTTTTTTCAACTTATTTCTTAACAACTTTCTACAAAACACAATTTATCCAAGATCCCAACTTATATTAATAAGAAAGAAATACAAAAGACAAAAAGAAGCTTTCCTGTGTCAATTTTAAAAGAAAATTTTATTTAAAATAGCATTCTCTGTTCTTAAAAAAGTGGGGGGAAATGTTAACCTGTGTGTAAATGTTTCATGCTGTATATAAAAGTAAAACATTATAATGGAAAATAAAATCTCATACCTTTCAGCACTAAATGCTGACTCTGTGTCAATGTACACCACAGCTCCTTCTAATCCTCCCATGTTGGTGGGTAATGTAGCTAAAATGCTCATCATTATACAAAACTGAGTTTTTCCACAACCTGGTGGACCTGTTATCTAAAAAAAAAAAAAAAAAGAAAAGAAAAAAAATGTTGTTTGGATAATCATCACAAGCCAGTCAAAGCAAAATCCTTTTAAGACCTTGCTATATATGCAAGGTATTAAAAGATATATGCATATATATCTCTGGGCTCCCAAGAGATAATTAAGCCCTAACACCCCAAGACATCTACTGTATATAATGAATTAACTTCTCTCCTCTGGATTGGCACTAGTTATGTACTATCCTTGGAAAAAATTGAGAAAATAGTTACTCAAATCATCCACTGTATTTTGTAGTTCAGATGAGAAACTTTTAGTTGAGAAAGGCTGAAACATTCACTCATTTATACCATCATAACTTGGTGTTCTATAGCTTTTCCTCATGAAGATATTTATAATAGGACTTTGAAAATATTTAAGAGTCTTTAATAAATGGTTGAACATTTGTTACAAATTGGCATTTCAAAACAATACTGTACTAGTCCCATTAAGGGCTACTTTAATCCATATTTTTAAGAGTATTTAGGGGTGAAGTGTACTGATGTATACAGTTTACTTTCAAACAGTTCAACAAATAAAAATGTGTGTATGTACACACATATGTGTGTAGAAAGAGAAATAAAGCAAATTTATTGCTTTATAAACAATTGTTGAGTTTCGGTGATGCATACTTTGAAATGTCTGTTTTGAAATCTTCATTGGCAGAAAACTATTTTGAGATTATGAAAGTTGAAATCAAAAGAGTATAGACAGGAAATTAATTATAGGCATATTCAAGTGTAACTAGAAGTAGTTTGGCTCTGTGTCCCCACCCAAATCTCATGTTGAATTGTAATCCCCAGTATTGGAGGAGGGACCTGGTGGGAGGTGATTAGATCATGGTGGCAGTTTCCCGCTTGCTGTTCTTGTGATAGTGAGCTCCCACAAGATCTGATAGTTTAAAAGGGAAGTGGCACTTCCCTTCTTTCTCTCCCCGTCTCTCTCTCTCTCTCTCTCTCTCTCTCTCTCCTGTTCTGCCATGTTAAGATGTGCTTGCTTCCCCTCCACCTTCTGCCATGATTGTATGTTTCCTGAGGCCTCCCAAACATGCCTCCTGTTAAGTCTGCAGAACTGTGAGTCAACTACACCTCTCTTTACTTCATCAATTACCCAGTCTCAGGTAGTTCTTTATAGTAATGTGAGGACGAACTAATACAGTAGTTAATAAAATTAGTTTGAAAATGTTTAAAAATACATCCTTTAAACGTAAGCTGTTTTTCCCATTTGCTTGGGCACCCAAGTTTTTAGAACCAATGCATCATTTATTTGTGAAAATAACACTAAATAACATTTTTTTTCACAATGAGAAGGGGAGAGAAGAGGAGGGGAAATGAAAAAAAAAATCTAAGATAGAAATGAAAAAAACTCTGGGCTAAAACTGAGACACACAATAAGGAAACTGTCTCAGATATATTATGAAGTAGAAAGAAACAAATACAAATGATCCATGAGTCTGAATCATCTAAATTTGTAGTTCTCAGATTTGAGTGAGCATTAGAATCACCTGGAAAACTTGTTAATCAGCATTTCTGGTTCAGTAGGTCTGGGTTATGGCCTGAGAATTTACATTGCTACTAAGTTCCCAGGTAATGCTGATGCTATTTATACACTTTAAGAACCACTGTTTCAGAATATAGTCTAAAGGTGAACTTCATTTATCAAAGTTCAACCTTTAAACACAAATGTTCAGCACATGCCTATAATCCCAGCTACTCTGGAGGCGGAGGCAGGAGGATCACTTGAGCCCAGGAGTTCAAGACCAGCCAGAGCAACATAGCAAGATCATGTCTCAAAAAAAAAAAAGAAAAGAAAATTCTCACATTAGAAACTATGTGCTGGTTTATAATCTTTTACAATGATCATTTAGACTTTAAGAACAAATAATTACTCCTGTAAATAATAGCTTGCCAGATTATAAGTGATCAGTAAAGAGAGTTCTCCAAACTTCTTTGACCACATACTCCAACAAACCAGCCAAAAAAAGCAATCAAAATGAAATTTAGTACAGCCCTCCAATATATACATATTTATTACATACCTACTATTTTACTAATAAGTCCTATATAGTATAAAACCCAACAAAAATGAATTAAAAATTGCAAACATTAACAATCATTTGATGATATTTATTACTTATATAAAAGATTTTTTTGCTCTCATAAAAGCTTAACATTTTTAGTAGAGCAATGATAATAATGAAAATAATAAGAAACCAAATTGTATTTTTAAAAAATAATAATATAAATATTTTGTGATTCGGTGATTGAAATGTGAGGTCCTAAGTTCCATTTATTTCAGCATTTAATTGTAATTCCCTTCCCATAGCTGAGGAGATAATTACAAAGATATAAGAATTAAAATTAACAAAATACATCATTTGTTGGACTTAAATAAATTACTATTTGCACTTTTAAATACCTTCCATCAATCATGCAAAAGTTTTTGTTGATCTTTAAGAAATTTCCATCTTCCCTTATGTCAATTGATCATTTTTGCAGACAAATCAAAACATGTCACATTTTAACATTTTCAGCAACTGGCTTAAAAACCCACTGAAACTTTTTTTTTAAATTACATTTATTTATTTTTATGGAAGTATGACAATCGGCTAGAAAAATATACAAATTACATATGACCAGTCTGATGAATTTCTACCACGATACTCATTTGCTACCAGATATGTATCATGGGTTTTGCTTGTTTTAATATTTTTAATTGATAAATAACAATATATATTTATGGAGTTCAATATATTTTGAAATATGTTTACAGTACATTGTAGAATGGTTTAATCAAGCTAATTAACATATCTATCACTTCATATACTTATCTTTTTTTGGTGAGAAGATTTAAAATCTATTCTTTTAGATATTTTGAAATATACAACATTATTACTAACTATAGTTACCATGCTGTACAATAAATCACCAAAATTTATTCCTATTGTATAACAAACTTAAGACTCTTATCAACATCTCTCCTTCCTCTATTCCCCCTTTCGCCTACTGACTAAACTCTTCATTTGGAACATTTTTGAAGAGTATACAAAATATTTTTCCAAGTATTTTTTAAGAGTGCAGATAAGTTTTCATAAGACACACATATCTTTGACAACGAAAATCACGATAAAAGAAATATTTCCAGTGATTTTTAAAACATTCTGTGTTTTCATCACAGTCTTTACAAAAGGCAGTTACATTTTCACTCCTTGTTAAAACATTACCTTTACCTTGAAGAAGGAATGAGGTAAGAGTATCCATTGATTGGTTGGTTGCTTGGTATTTAATTTACAATGCAGGTTACATAGTCACTGTCACACAAAAAGGGTCAGCAAATTTGACATCTCTTGTCTTTTCATTTAAAAAACACACACTTCACCCATCTTTTTTTTTTTTAAGGCAGGGTCTCATTCTGTTGCCCAGGCTGGAATACAGTAACATGAACATAATCCACTGTAGCCTCAATTTCACACATGCCTAGCTTTTTTCAATTTTTTAAATTTTTTTGTGGAGTTTGCCATGTTGCCCAGACTGGTCTCAAACTCCAGGACTCAAGCCATCCACCCACCTCAGCCTCCCAAAGTGCTGAGATTACAGGCATGGGGCACCATGCCCGGCCAACTCATCTTTTAAATTCAGTAATTCTTTTATAATCTTTGCTTTAAGATAATCAGAGATGCTCCTGTGATTCAAATGATTCTCATGGTCACTACTCATCTCATTATAGAGTACAACAGGGATTTGATACAACAGTTGGGATTTTTTTGGTTGTTTATTTTGTTTTGTTTTGAGATAGGGTTTCCTTCTGTCACCCAGGCTGGAGTGTAGTAACACGATCACGTCTTACTGCAGCCTCTACCTTCAGGGCTCAAGTCCTTTCACCTCTACCACTCAAGTAGCTGGAACTACAGGCACACACTACCATACCGAGCTAATTTTTTAATTTTTTGTAGTGGTAAGGTCTCACTATGTTGCCCAGGATGATCCTGAACTCCTGAGCTCAAGTAATCTCATCTTGGCCTCCCAAAGTACTAGGATACAGTCTTGAGCCAACATGCCAGACTAACAGTCAGATTTTAAGAAAAATTAACAACATTGATATCACACTGAAATACTCTTTGCTCATCTGACATCAACCTATGTGTTGCTATAGATTACCTATGTATGATGCAACAGAAAAGTTGAAAGACTTTTACAAGGACCATCCATGAACCCACCACTTAGACACTGCATTTATAATTTTAACTGTATTTTTTATACTATACTATGACTACACCATATGCTTTCTGTATGATTAATCCATTTACCAATCCATCTTAGAGTTTTTTAATGCATTTCAAAGTAAGTCAAACACATTAATATAGTTTCTCCCTAACAGTCCAGCATGCATATCATTAACTAGAATTTTATATGTATTATTCCTTTTTTTCCTTTTGCAGTAAATTTTACATGCAATGAAATGTGCAAATTATAAGTCTACTATTTCATAAATTCTAGCAAGTGCATATATGTATGCAGCCTAAACTCTTATAAAGTCAAAACACTATCATCATTATCACAGGAAATTATCTCATATACATTGTTTTGCATTCACGAAGTCACTTATTTTCAAGAATTTATTTTCCCTGATACATCTTTATTTTAATGGCACAAAAAGAAATTAGTTCTTCATGTATTTTATTATTGAAACAAAATATAGCTACTATGATAATCTGGACCTTGTTAGAAACAGCTGTACTTCAAATATATAGCATCCTCCAACATTAAATAATTTAAGTTCTTGATGTTTCAAATCATCTTCAAAGATTTCTACACACTTCTGGAAGTATTTGTTCACAAAAGAATTCATCTGTTGTTGCCATATTGTTTCCTATGTTTTATTCCATCCATTTTATGAACAAGTGTGTCCCTAATGTTACTAATAATGTACTATATTTGGTCTTTTGCTGTTAAGAAAACACAAAAGAGACTTTTAAA